TGTCAGTTATCTTGTCAAGACTAAAAGAAACACTGTTTTCCTTATGTCTTTTGAAAGAAGGTGGAAGAAGAAACACTTTTGGAGCACTACTTGAATCACTATAGTCAATAAGAAATAGAATAAAACTTCTATTAAGGTCAATGGCTAAATTTTTGGTTTTAGCAAAGAGGCGCCTCAACTGGGGGGAAAACAAAGGTGGTTAGAAAGGTAATAACGAACCAACAGCTAGTTAACCCTCTCTTAAGAATCCCTAAAGTTGGTTGTTAATTGAATAAATTGAGAAGCAACGAAAAGGACTATACAGGTGGATGGAGCAGAATGGAAGGTAATATTATTAAGTAAATATTTATTACGTAGCAGACAGAGTGCTACACACTTTATATCCATAATTGCATTTAATCCTTAAAATAAACCCAGGAGCTAGGTATTGTTAGCTTCATTTTACAGAGAAGAAAACTAAGACATATACTGGTAAAGTAATGAGAAGAAAGTGATACAGGAAGGGTTAACTAAAAAGCCAAATACCTTAACGCCAATGTTAAGCTGTCTCTATGTTGCTTCTTCTATAACTGAATACATTGCTGAATTTTCCACATCAGGGTAACTGCCCTCATATAAGCACAAAAGTGATTTGGGTCTTAGATCCAGCTCTTAGTTCCCATCTGTACGCAACTTCAGAGATTAAGTGAATGACTTCAATCGCCAAATGAGATTCATTTTGCTCCATGTTAATGAACACTAATCTGATCTAGGACCTGCCATCTACAAAAAAAAAAAAATAGAAAACAAAAAATCTGCCCCTGATCACAAGGAAGACTTTTACTGAATAAAAACAACACAAAAGGCGATGCTCAAAATACTTTGGAAAGCTGTTTGGTAGCATCTACAAAACCCTAGCTTACATATGCCCTAACCCAGAAATTTCACTCCTAGACGTATACCCACTGAAATGCGTACACGGGCTTCCCTGGTGGCGCAGTGGTTGAGAGTCCGCCTGCCGATGCAGGGGGCGCGGGTTCGTGCCCCGGTCCGGGAAGATCCCACATGCCGCGGAAGGGCTGGGCCTGTGAGCCATGGCCGCTGAGCCTGCGCGTCCGGAGCCTGTGCTCCGCAACGGGAGAGGCCACAACAGTGAGAGGCCCGCGTACCGCAAAAATAAAAAATTAAAAAAAAAAGAAAAAGAAGAAATGCATACACATGTTTACCAAAAGACAAGTTCAAGAATGTTCATAGCAACACTATTCATAATAGCCCTAATCGGGAAACGACCCAAACACCGATCAACAACAGAATGGAAGAACAAATAAATTGTAGCATATTCACAAAATTGAACAAATAAACCATGCCTAGATGCACTATATGGATGAGTCTCCAAACATAATGATGAATGAAGAAGCTAGATGAAAAAGAGTTCATATTGTATGATGCCACTTATATAAAGTTCAAAACCAGTTAACACTAATCTAGGTGTTAAAAGTCAGGATAGTGATCACTCTTCAGAGGAGTAGTGACTGAGGGGAGGAGGGCTTATGAAATACAGATAATGTTCTTTTTCTTTTATCTGGGTACTTGCTAAATTAGTATGTTATGTTTGTTAAAAATCAGCATGTTTTACACTAATTTTTGCACATTTTCTTTTATTCTGTTATATTTAAATAAAAGGTTCTTTAAAAACCAATGCTTTATTCTTGGGGGATTAACAGCATAGCATTTACACTGTAATTAATACTTTTAGCCTTCTTCTTATCCCTCCATATAAACAGAGACAGACAATAAACACAGGAGGCTTTGTTCTTTAAAAAGAATTTTTTTTTTCATTTCAATTTTGGGCTAAATGTCAATTTACAGAGTTCCATTCATCTCAATATAAGAAAATGTATTTTCAACTCTAGTTTCAAATCCTGTTGCAATCCATCTTCACCAAACAAAAGAATTAACCCTAGGGCTTCCCTGGTGGCGCAGTGGTTGAGAGTCTGCCTGCCGATGCAGGGGGCGCGGGTTCGTGCCCCGGTCCGGGAGGATCCCACGTGCCGCGGAGCGGCTGGGCCTGTGAGCCGTGGCCGCTGAGCCTGCGCGTCCGGAGCCTGTGCTCCGCAACGGGAGAGGCCACGGCAGTGGGAGGCCCGCATACCGCAAAACAAAACCATTTTAAATAAAACTGCCGATAACTAGTTTTTGATTCCAACTGCATTGTCAAAGTCTACTAAAATTCTTCCCTTTTCTGCTACTTCATTAACTTCATATTCTTAACCTCAGAATGAATGAAGAAATCCTTAAAAACATTTAACTTAGGAAAACATGAAATGAGGATATACTTTCTAAGAGTAAAATTTCAAGCTCAATGACTTTCTCATTTTGCAATAGGATCTTTGTGCAAAATATTCTGCAGACCAATACATATTTTTTGTCAGAATAATGAACTTTGAAAAGTCAACACTTTTTCCATCTAAGAATTTCCAAGCCTTCCATTTGTAACTCAATATTAATTCATAACCATCAAGATTTAAATTGGTGTCTTTAAAAAGAGAGAATATGACGAAAACCAATACCTATGGATGATTCTATTTAAGATTATGTTTCCATTTCTTCTTTCGGAATATTTTATCACATATGAAAGAATAGCCTTGATATAAATATTTTATTAACCACAAGGAGGAAAGGGGCAAAGAGAAAACACAGACAAGCAGGAAATAAAAGTTTATCTAAAAATTTCCTTTGCAAATTAATCCTCTGACAAAGATGACTTAGTGGAAAGAACAAATATCCTGAAGCACACTACAATACTGTTCCCAATAAACTTTATTTTGAAAGGCTATTTACTTTGTTGAGGGATGTTATCATTTATTTCCTTGGTTACCATGATGCTGTGATTACAACCTACTCCCTGTTTTGGAAAGCTATGCAACTTCCTTAAACAGCTGCAGAGTACAGGTTTAAGGGAAGAAAAAGTAACATCTATGATGCTCTTATTAATTTTAATGAGCATTAAGATCTTTCAAGCACTGTGATTACGAATCGCAGCCGACAACTGATGAGAAGGCTTATAAATTTACTTTTCTTTTCCCTACCATAAATGTTGCTAATTTTTTTAGCAACTGATATTAGAAATTCAAATATCTTCAAGATGAAATTTCCTGAGGAATTATGATTCTGGGTTCCAGAAGGCCCGTGGACAGTGCTCCAATGTCAGGTATGGCACCATTCAGGTAGAGACAATTTTACAAAGTCACTATTCCAGTGTTACTACTTTACCAAAAGTGACCAAGAAATCCAATTTAACTGGTATAATTAAGCATATTAATTTCATTCTCTTTTCTATAATGAACACCACCGAACCAATCTACTCTGAAGTTAGACAATATCAGCAAAAAACATGAAGCAACAATAATAAGCATTTGCAAGCTCTTACTATATATAAAGATAAAACTGTTAAAATGTCATGCCCCCACTTTTTCCTATTTTTATAAATACCATGAAATACTGAACTCAGATCAGTGTGCAATAAGTAAGACCTATAAATATCTATCAAAACTAACGTTTAGTATCACCTTGTTTTAAGATTACAGAACTCAATGAATTTGTTTTTACTTTCAAAGAATATTAAACTAAATTAGAGGAGTCAGAACTGTTCACCACACCCATTTGGATAATCAGGCAAAGTAGAGTTTTTAGTACAAATGTCCAGTTTGCTTTGTGCATACTGTGATCACACCATTTTGACTTTGAATAAGGTTTTAGCTCCTAATTTTGCATTCTTCCTTTAGGTTTAATTTAAATAGGCATTTTAGGAACTAATTTGTAAGTAAGACAAATAGAATTAATGTGTCATCAGTCAGGTACTCTGGCTGTTATAATATTCAGAATTCGGGAACTTATTCTGTGTCTCTCAGCGAGTCACTCAACTCTTCTTTATCAAAATATGTTACAAATGTTTTAAAATCTTACATGTTTACAAAATGCTGTGCACCCTTCATATGTTGTGCTTCTGCCAGCTAGAACCTTTGAAGAGCAAAACCCAGCTGTGCTTGCATATCAGATGGTTACTGCAGTAAGTAGGCTGAAAAGTAACAGTTATGCTTTATATAGCTTATATGTTTTTATCTTTTTTAACCTTATTTTTATAATGAAATTTCTAGTTCCTGGGGTGATTAAAATGGTTAGACTTTTCTTCTAAGAAAGAAGAAATTTTGTGTTAAAAAATATTGTAATATAAAACTGTCTAGATTATATTAAGTTTATACTTTTGATTACTCCAGCTTTTTACATTAAGACAGTTATATTTTTATATACATTTATATTCCTAATAAAAAAGTTTTTCTTATCCAGCAACTTTTTCATCACCATGAAGACAAACATTTTGATGGGCAGTATACAATGTATGTGTGTGTAATATTACTTACATCTTTAAAAGAGTAAAGTAAATAAATACAGCCATCTAAGGAACTAAAAACAATAAAGGAAACAAATATAGATACCTAAGGAATTCTGCAAACTAATTTTTGAAATATTCTACTGTCTAAACATATAATTATATGATATAGAAGCTTTATCACTTCTCAATTGTCTGGTAGGAGTCTCAACACACAGGAAGAGATATGAATTGAGAATTTAATTACCATAAAATTTTCATTTATATTCACTCTTGGAGTATAATTACATTACCATTAAAAACACCTGATTCTAATTTCACTTATTTAAAGGTCCTTGGTATTAGTAATGCATAATTACACAGATATAGGCTTATTGTGAATTTAATGATACAAATTTAATTACCTCATTTTACTTTGTAGAAAATATATATGCCTAACATTTTCATTTCTCACAAATAAAATTACAATTAAAGTAGTCTTTACTAAAAATTCAAATAGAACTTTTTGGTCAGTATTTATGGCTTAATCTTCTTTTTTAAGGTAAAAAGAAAATGAAGAAAATTGTTAATCGTGTTAAGTAGAAACTATTTTCTATTTTGACTTAAATATGAGAGATGGGAGTCACTCTACCTCACAAAGCAGTAAGTCAATGATGTGGAAGACCATGCAGAGTGGGAACTTGGCAGTAAAAAGAGTGAGAAACCACTGGGATGCATACATATGAGCTTCCAGGTTCAGATCAGAAAAATGGCCGTGCAGGTCCGGTAACTGCTCCTGAAAGTCAAAGTGGAAAATTGTGGGGGGAGGAACACTGAAGACGCCTCATTTCCTGCCACAACTGCGATTTATGACAAGCTTGCTACAATCACTCTCAATTTACTACAGCATTTGTTGACTTTTATATAACTACATAGAAGTGATGATAGGAGATGAGAACTGGGCATATGACAGAGAGAGAACAAGAAAGACGTGTTATGAACAAATAACAAAGATCAACTCTTGCTCACTTGACTGTTCCTGTTTCTTGGGAAATGCTTGCTCTGACAGAACACCTGTGGTCTAGTGAGTATCAGGACTCCACCGTCAAGTCACAGCACTCCACTCAGGGTTGAACTCCTAACTAGCCAAAAAAGAAATGTATCTTTTCTTTGAAGACCATTTAATATCAACATCATCTGGGTTCTATGATATTACTTCAGTACATTATGGTACTGAAGCCCAAAACAGAACTGTACTTTTAACAATCTATCTTCAACATATTAAAAATTACAAAGTACAGAAATTGTACAAGTATATAATGTATAAAATTGGATGTCTCCTGGGAAAAATACTGGGAAAAAGAGGAAAAAACCTCTTTTTTCCCCGATTTATACAAGTAAATGCTTTTCAAAAGCATGAAAGGCAAAGTATAAAGTATTAGCATAGCTATTCCCACAACTGAAAGACAAAGGCAAAGATATATAAAAGCCCACTTTAGTTTTGTTTTCATAAACAGACCACAGAAATAAAATTTTTGTATAAGATGCTCTTTGAGAAACACCCCAATGTACCCATCAGGTACTTTTAATGGGGTATTGAGGTGGTCATTCAGTTAACAGACAAAAGTGCTAACAGAAAATGTATTTGGGTTTCTTCATAGTACCATGAACATGCTATTCATTTATCAGGTACTTTTATTTGACTCTCAAAGCTCTTAAGAATACTGACCTTTGAAAAAATATGAACTTTTAAAAATAAAAGGTAAATGAAAGATAAAAAATGTGAAGAATCCCAAATATTTACTTGGAAGAATTAAATCTCTAAAAAAGAGCCCATTGCTTTTACTGTCCATAGTTACCACATTGTTCTACACAGTCTTTTTCCCCCTCAATGCCCATTTGTCATTGTGCTTACAGTTCTTTTGACATCCTCCTCCCCCTTTACTTCTTCTTCACATTTCAGGTTTTCTACCCTCCTACATTCCCTTCTCCTAATACAGCTGTCCTTAACCTCACTGCAAACTCTCTGCCTTCCACTTCCCTGTTCCAGTCTTTGTCTCCTATTGGCTTCACTTCCCCCTTAGACACCTACTGATCTCCTGACAGGTCATGTCAATAAGCTCCTACCAGTATCCTCTACTGCCACATCCCAGTAACCTTCCTCCCCAACCACTTTACTTTTCCCCAATATGGAATCAATTCAATCATGTATTTTCTTCACATTTCTCTTGGATTCCCAATTCCTCTTATAGAGAAAGCCATATAAACATGTTGCATAGACCCATTACAAATTTAAGATTTACAACCTCAGATGGAATTTCAAAGCTACTCAGTAATTCCTTTAACAGCACTAGACAATAATTTTGTCCTTGCTCACAATCTTTTTTATGACAGATATATAAAAGAATACCTATTTCTCATACATATAATTTACACATATACATTATGAAATAGTTAACAACATTGTTTGAGATCTGGAAATTACAGAGGAAAAAATTTAAAGTGTGTCCCTACACTACAATATTTTAGGTGGTTTTTAATTTCATCAATGTCTTTCTGTCTCTTTAAAGTGTTCTCTACATGTGGACCTAAATATGGTACTGGTGCTAATTAATATTGAGAAAAATCTTAAGTATTTCAGTTTTTATTATGTAAATATCTTTATTTATTTACAAATAATACTGGGAAATCTCTTTACTGACTTAATTCACCATATTCACACTTCAAAGTGTATTAAGTTGAATATTTTAAGTGGAAGACTATTTTTATAAATGGTCAAATAGTTAAATAAATATTTTATGACATTAAGACCACTGTAGATATTGGTCAGAAACCAAATCCATTTACCTTTTCTGTAACTTTCCATTAGATTTTCATAAACCATTATTTTTCAATTTTATTGGACTTTCCCTATAAGTCAACAAATCCCTGAGTGATAAAAGTTCCTAATGTTTACTTACCTGCATTAGTCTCTCCAACTGATAGAATTTGCAGTGAAGATCTTCAAAGTTGTTTTTGTAGAGGTCTCGTAAACCATAGTCATACATGATTTTCACCAAAACACAGAATGCTTGTTCCTCTGGCATCTACAGGAAAACATATACATACAGAACATGACTGAGTGGCATTTGACCAGAATGTCAGGAACATTCCTTCATGTTGTTAGTCCCCTGTATTAGTGGCTGAAGGTCACTAGTGAATGAAATTCTTCAGAGCCAGCTTTCTGCAGTGACATAGGTAAAATCTGTGTTCCAAGTTTCAAGCTTCCCTACTTGAGATGAATTTCCCTCTTTTGCTAATTTTAATCACCTTGTCATTTACTCTTAAGCCATCTTAAAAATAGGTAATACAGTCAGATGATGTAAAAAAATCAAAACAATTTAAAAGTATATAAAGGTTAAAAAAAGTCTCACTCCTCTCTATCCCTATATCCACTAATCCCTGTATCTGTCCCCCCAACCTCTTTTGCATAATCTCATAACTACTCAATAATTTCTCATATATTCTGCCAGTGTTTCTTTATGCAAATAAAAGAATTACATTTCTTATTTTACTTTTTCCCTTTCCTATATAAAAGATAGCATTCTAAATACATTGCTATGCACCTTGCTTTTCTCCCTCAATAATTCCCCAAAAGAGGGATTGCTGAGTCAAAGGATAAAATGCATTTTTAATTTTGACAGATAGTATGATACTGTCCTCCCAGAATCTTGATGTTGCTATTTTTCTCTCTATAAAAAGGTCTTCAGCTGTTTCAGAAGCTTATGAGCTTCTCTCATTAAGATTTAAATGACAAATAAAATCCGATATACCTTCCCAGATATTTTTATCTGAACAGAGAATAAAATCTGAAATCAAAAGAACTGATCTCTAAATTATGGTATCAATAAGCTGAAAGAATTTAGAGAGGGACATATTCAATAATTTAGAATTTGTACCAAGCAAACAGAAAAAGTTGTCCTTACTCAAGGTCCTAGGATGTAACTATTATGTAAACATTTACTTTAAATGTCACTTCTTTGAAAGTCTGACCTTGGCTGATTATGATTTGACACATTTGTTAGACCAACTTCCTGCCTGAATAATTGAATCAAGTAGAGTTCTGTTTACCCACTTAGAAATGTAACTTTTTATTTAAGTTCCTATACAAACTGACCACTTCTGTTTTCTACTATAAACCATGAAATATGTAAATTAGTTAAATAAAAATTCCTAAAGTTAAATAAGTACAGTTAGCTGTTGTCATTTGGTTTCTCTAAATATTTGCTTATTTCTTTTTTTCTTTTTTTTTTTTTTGTGGTACACGGGCCTCTCACTGTTGCGGCCTCTTCCGTTGCAGAGCACAGGCTCTGGACGCGCAGGCTCAGCGGCCATGGCTCACAGGCCAAGCCGCTCCACGGCATGTGGGATCCCTCCGGACCGGGGCACAAACCCGTGTCCCCCGCACCAGCAGGCAGACTCCCAACCACTGTGCCACCAGGGAAGCCCTTGCTTATTTCTTTTTTACCTATGAGTTGGAGGCCTTGGCTTTGACCCCAGCTGTTCAAGTCAGCAGACATTTTTCAGTTTTTATGCAGTTATTTAGAATGTAAGCGCACTGTACTTTTTACCCCTTTAGCAATTCTGTCATTGAAGCTTCAAGTGACACTAATGTGCACATGAACAGTCTACAATACTTCTCTTACTACCAAGTTATAAGCCTCTTCGTCTTCTCCCTGATCTCTACTAAAATGGCTATACAAAAACGCTGCCCGTAAGATAACTGTAACCAGCCCTAGAGAAACTAGTTCACTCAACCTTTCCCTCTTCCTAAGTAAGTGATGATTAGTTGAATATACAAGGTGTAAAAGGGATTAACCTTTATTTCCTTGAATGTGGTGAGACCATTAAAACAAAAGTTTAAACACCCTTCAGCATTCATACATGCAGTCACTGAACATATAAGATGCATGTACTGTTCTAGGTCCTGGATACAGAGGTAAAAGTAGAGTGCCTTCCCAAAGGACAAGGAAATAGGCAACTCTACTTGAATCTGATACAGACACAGAAGTCGTGGAGTAGGGGAGGATGGGAGGGTGGAAGAGGTGTTAGATGTCACTACAGTTACAGTGCAAATAGAGGGATGGCCGGATATGAGCTTTATCAGGATAAACTATTTAAGAAAATGACAAATAGACATAAATTTCTGCTTTGCTTTTAGATATGGAGCTTAAATTTATTCATATTCATTCAGTCACACTCATTCTCTCTCCCTCGCTCCCCACACCCATCTCTGTCTCTATCTCTTGGTCCCCTTCCCCTCTCCCTCCACCACCTTCCCCATTCAACTGTCTGTCTCTCACACATATACAAACAATATATTTAATAAATGTTCTGTAAAAACAAAAGCATTTGAAAGTTTGAACTTGATCCCTAAAAATAAAACTGACAATCCCAGCCTATTTTTAAAAGTATATCTATATCTTGGGTGTGGGGGGCAGCCTTGGAGTTAGTATCCTTCAGGTCTAGCTTCAGCAATATAGCCAAGGTTTTGATTTTTAGTTAGTTCATGTGTTACATGAAAACAGTAGACTAAACCTACAAAATACCAGTCCAGCTGAGTAGAATCAATACTGACTATCTGTGAAGACTAAGGTCAGATATAATAAGCTCTTATGGGATCTCAGATACTATCTCAACATGAAAGTGACTAAAAATGAATCCCTGTGAAAACAGAAAAATGGTTGCTAACAAAATGAGTGAGAAAGTAATGGGAAATAGTTATAATCCTTTGGAAAGTGGAAATTCAACCTTCTCTTTCTGGTTTAAAGATGAAATGGGATCTATTTAGCATGTCTAATTAAGCTTCCCTTGGTATTTCTCTTTCTTCAATTAATGTATTCATTATTACTAGCAGCAAGCAGGGTGAGCACACAAAATTAGCAAAAATGTCAAAGATTTTAAAAATGAGAATATCTAAAAATGTATAAAATATAGCTAAACAACAAATACCGATTGACATTTACACTGCAGAGAAAAAAGGAAGTTCACACACAGACTTATAATGGTGTTTTGCTTTGAAGGATAAGACAATGCATGTTTTTGAAATATACCTCAGTGAAGTGTCAATAACAGGGAGTGAAGGCTGAGCCTAGATTAATGATATTGTAAAACATAAGATATATGATAAAAACATACTTTGGAAATTATAAACAATAATCACTGGTGGCTACTAATGACTTCAATGATGGCAGAAAAACTTACAACAATAAATTATAGCTTTGTTAATGAAAATAAATATAATACTAATAATTATAATAATAAGTTGGGTAATAGGGACCTAGCTGTAGCATTAGCAGTAGTTGGCCATTACCATAACTCATCAAATATAGAAAATAAATAAACTGGAGTTGAGAAGCAATGCTCAACAACACACCATTATATGTTACTTCCATCAGATAAAACAGACATAAACAGACTAAAAAGTATAGATAACAGTTAAATGTGGCAAAATAATTAGTATTTACCACTTTCTGCTTTTAATATATGTAATTATAAGTTTATATCATTTAATTTTTCCTAGCTTTATTGAGATATAATTGACATACAACATTGTGTAAGTTTAAGGTGTACAAAGTGATGATTTTACTTATTTATATATCACCTCACGTAGTTACGATTTTTGTTTTTTATGGTGAGAATTTTTGTCGTTTTTGTGGTAAGCAATTTTCAAATATACAATACAGTATTGTCAACTACAGTTACTATACTGTACATTACATCCCCTGAACTTATTAATCTAATAACTGGAAGTTTGTACTCTTTCACCATACTCACCCATTTCCCACATCTCCCACACCTGGCGACCATCAACCTCCTCTTTGTCTTTTTTTTTTTTAAATCTTGTGGCCACGCCACAGGGCATGTGGGATCTTAGTTCCCCTACCAAAGAGCGAACCCATGCCCCCTGCAGTGGAAGCGTGAAGTCAACCACTGGACCACCAGGGAAGTCCCAACCATCAACAAACGTTTTTAGTTTCCACATATAAGTGAAATCATACATGTCTTTCTCTGACTGACTTACTTCACTT